CTCAGTTTCCTCGGGGATGTGGGAAAGTCATCAGCAGGAAGGGGGCGTGGGAGAAGCGGTAGGCGCGGTTGGAGGAGTGAGAAGAAAGTGCCAGTCATCTAAAGAAGTGAGAACATGAACGGGCTCAGAACACCTGCGTGTAGAACAGAGGAGGTTTGATAGGCTGTCCAGGTAGCATGAAGGACCAGTTTGAGGTTCCTGCCCCGGGAGCCCAATCAGTGTGGTTTCGGGCTCATCCCAGTCGTGTTCAGATGCACGGGGGCAGGTGCAGGCGAGATCGAGTCGGACTTGACGGAGGTGGCAGTTGCACGGAGTGTAAGAAAGTGAGGGGGCAGGAGAGCTGGGAGTGTGAGCAAGAAAATGAGGATGACATTGGCCCCGGGATTTAATCTGGATAAGGAGGGGAATTCTCACCAAGAGAGGGAACAGGGAGATGGAGGAAGGACGAGAGGATCGCAGCTCTGAGGGGACCCGAGGATGGATGGCAGGTCCGGGCTGGTCCACCTCATTCTTTGCTCATCGTGGGCATCTTGTCTGGATGGCCCGACCCTTCACCTTCACATCTGGGGAGCAGGGCAATAGAGGAGGTAGACAAAAGGGGAAGGGGGAGGGGGTGCAACTGCTCTCTTTGTTTAAAGAAGGCTTCCCGGTTATCACATGACAATTTTCCTTTTGTTTCATTGGCCGGAACTGGTTACAGGGCTATTTCTAGCAAGAGAGAGGCTGAAAAATAAAGTCTTTATTCCAGAGACCAATAAATAATAAATAAGGACAAAGGAAGGAAAATGCATTGGGTTAGGCAATGATTATATTTTTTTGTTCCTAAAAAATGTGCATTTCCCCACATTGTACCTCTCTGAAATTGGGATATATGATATATAGTTGGTTGTGTGTAATGGTTTGTTACATTTTTTTAATTTGTATTTAATAATCCAGAAAATAATGATGCATTTTACAGTCGACGACATCTCATACTGGAAGGAAGATGGTAGTGTTTTGCCAAGACAGAATTCTGGACGGGAGGAACAGATTTGCTGTGGGTAAGCGAAAGGGAAGGAAGATAATTGGTTTGGTTTTCTGCATGTGAAGTTTGAGAAGTTAGGATCAGGATGCCAGACTGTGATGGGGCATGTGAGCAAATTTATGTGGGAAAATGCCACGAGTTCTTCCGTATCCTGATTGCTTGGACCCTTTTTTTTTCCCCAAAAATAATTTGAAGTGGCAGTTCTTCACTATAGGTAGAAATCATTTCGCTTGTTGCCAAAGACTCAGCAGCCCTGCCAAATAAAATAATAATTTTATAAGATGATAATGTATTAATTCAAGGTTTTCAATGAAATGAGCAGTGAAAAATAAAATGTGATTTAAAATATTAGTTTGTAGCCAAAAAGTGATGGTGAAATATTTTCCTGCCTCTAGCGATTGCATGTGAAACTTCTGATAGAAATGTCTGGTTTTAATTTATTTTCTTCGGGATGCTTTATTGAAGACCCATGTGCAAGGGGAAAAAATTAAAACCAGACAACTTCAGATCCACTGTAAATTTCACATGCCATCAGAAGGACTAAACTAAATGTTTCTTTTGGCCACCATGCTTGAAATACAAACAAAAAGTTAAATGAATTCACATTTTAATACTCCTATTTGAAATATTAAAATGGCATTTAGACCTAGACATCTATTAAGCCTCATGGTAGAATCTATAATTTGGGTGAAATTGTAAAAAAACAATAAGTGCACATAGCAAATTATTGCTGTTCCTGAAAGGCCTATATCCTGTATTTGAAATGTGAGGAATAAGGAAATGAAAGGGATTATTAATTTTTTTTTTCTAAAATGCGAGTCTAATAAAAGGTAGATTCACGCTTTCAGGTCTCTTGCCAGCAACACTGGGCCCCGCTCCCCAGCATCCCACCAAGGCCTTCAGAAATGGCACATGATCAAAGATGAAATATGAGGAACCAGTAAGATCTGTAGACCTGAGAGAACAATCACATTAAAAATAATTTGTACAACAAATTGGTAGCTCCAAAATAGTCTTGGGGATGTAAACGACAGCATAGGGAATAGAGGTAATAATATTGTACTAAATATGTGTGGTGTTAGGTGGAGTCTAGACTTACTGGGAGGAGCACTTTGTAAGTTACAAAAATGTCTAACCATTATACTGTACATCTGCAACTAATATAATATTGAATGTCAACTGTAACTGAAAAATAAAAAAAAAACGGACAAGCTTTTTCTAAGCAAAAATAAAAAAGGGCACTTTCTCCAACTTAATTTTTTTTAAATCTATTTTTATTGATTTTAGAGAGGGAGGGAGAGAGAAAAACACCAATGATGAGAGAGAATCATCGATCGGCTGCCTCCTGCACGCCCTCCATTGGGGATAGGCCCCAAACCTGGGCATGTGTCTTGACCAGGAATTGAACTGTGACCTCCCTACTTCATAGGTCAATGCTCAACTACTGAGCCACACTGGTCAGGCTCCCCAACTTATTTTTGATGGTTGAAAAACTTCAGTTAGATTCATTCGCTCACCCATCCACCCATTCACTCATTCTACACCTTCTTGGGAGCCCTATTATGAGTCAGGGAAAATGATTAGCAAAAACATATATGACCTCTGTCTTCAGAGAACTTACCTTCCATTTTGCAGGAAGAGATGATGACATTGCATTAAAATGCATCATGGAAACAAACAAACAAAAAAGAAAGAAAATGCAGCCTGGGGTAGGACAAAAGGGGGAGGGGAAGACTTAAAAAATTATGAGTTGCAAGTTTTTAAATTCAAGTATTTTCTTTTGGTCCTTTCATTAAATAACAAACAGGTGTACTTTCAGGGGGTGCTAATATATATATAATGTGTTAATTAATTCACTTAAAGCAGCTGTGCATCTTCCTCCCACCAGCCTCCCACCTCTGTTCCGACCCGCACCCAGAGGGGTGCTCTGAAGGAGAAAGACAGAGCGCAGGTGGGTCTACAGAAGAGGAGTCGACCTGGGCAGGGGGCCAGAGAAGGATTCCTGTGTAAAAGCAGCGGTGAAGACATGTTTGCTGTCCGATATCAAGACATGTTTGCTGTCGGATAGCCAACCAAGCCCCTCATTTCTTATAACAAGGGTCCTGGGGGTATCTTGGTCAGGGTTGGTTCAGAAGGTCAACGCTACCATTAAAGACCTAGGCTCTTTCCCTCGCTGCTCTCCCTGCCTGTCCTGTTGGCCAAGCTCTCAAGCTTGCGCCCTCCTGCTGAGAAGATGCCAGGGCTCCGGCATTGTGTCCTCACACAACTGCGTCCTGAGGCAGGACGAGGCATTTCTCTTGTGCGCCCCTTTTGTTCTGAAGCATAGCTGCAAGAGCTGGTGGGAAAGCCAGCGTAGGACATTTTTAGTGTCTGTAGAAGGAGTCCGGCCCTGTTAGCAGGGAAGGGGTAGGTGGGAAACGCCTGCCTATAAGATACCTACAGATTCTGCCACGGGGAGTGGCTCTCAGCTGTGATCTTCAGGGCAAGGAGGCTGAGCAGATAAGAGACCTGAAGGTCCTGCCGGCAGGCAAAAGCTGCGAAAGGCTCCAGGGCAGGACAGAAAGACAGTCAGTGCCTAGAGAGAAGGGGGCGGGGACAGACCACATGGAGCCTGGCAAATGAGGTTAAGGGACTTTGTCTTTATCCCATCGGCTTTGTTTTTCTGGGAAATCCTGATTAACATACCGTGACGTGCTCCTCAGCAATAAAAAGGAAGGCGCTGCTGATACATGAAATAACTCAGGTGGATCTCAGGCCATTCAGCTGAACGATGGGAGCCAAGCTGAAGAAGTCACTCTGCATGCGTCCACTGACGTCTCCTTGAAATCTCAAAATCGTAAATATGGAAACAGCGTCCAGTAGTGGACTTGATTTCAACGTCAGGTTCGCGGCTTTGATATCCTAGTAGAGTTATTTCAGATGTAACCATGGGAGAAACTGGGTGAGCACACCTCTCTGTACTGTTTTTGCAGCTTTTTCGTGAAGTCTATAATTTATCTCAAAATAAAAGGTTTTAAAGAAAATTCCCAGAGACACCTCTCCCTCGCCTTCCTTTATCTTTCTGTGCATTTTAACTTCCCCGGGACTTGGCTTTCTGTCCTGGGCGCTATGTTGCTGAACCTCTTTCTTCCCCTTTTTCCTGAAGTACTACGTTTTCTTTCAATTGGCCACACCTTGGAAGCCAGTCATTCCCCTCCTGCTGTTAATCCTATTCCTTTAATAAAGGTTATGTGTCTCCGGGCTTAATTCTAAATGCGCAGCAGCATTCTATTTTTTTTTTTTAAATCTCTTTGAAAACCCCAAACCACAAGCGAACCTGCTTTTATTTTATATAATTATCGTTCATAAGGTCAGTAGCTCATACGACAAACATGTTTCCAACACGTGTCTCAGAAGACAATTTTTTTATTTTATATGGATGGAGCATTAATATTCTTGGTGTCTGTGGATTATGATCACACATTCAGAAATTACTGGGAATACAGTGACATCAAACGTTATGTTCCATGAGCTTTTCCTATAAATCCACGCATCAAAAATCGTAGTCATAATAATAATAAGCCTGTGCCAGGCCACGTCTGGAAAACTAGGACCGTCACAATGACTGCCCATCACTCCGACCACAGCCCGGCCCGGAGCCTGCGAACTCAACCTGGCCACACTTTCCAAAGGTGCTGCTTTAGGTTCTCAAGGTCAAAAAGGGCCTTCTGGCTCTGCCCCAACTACTCCGTGCCCTTGAAAAAATTATGAGTTGCAAGTGTTTAAATTCAAGTATTTTCTTTTGGTCTTTTCATTAAATACAAACAGTTGTACTTTCAGGGGGTACTGTCCACACTTAAAGCAGCTGTGCACCTTCCTCCCACCAGCCTCCCACCTCTGTTCCGACCCGCACCCAGCGGGAGACCCCACCCCAGCGGAGGGCTAGGCCCCGCCCACCGCGCTAGGTCCCGCCCACCGCGCTCCGCGGGCCCGAGGCGGAGGAGGCGTGTCCCTCGCGGCGCCCCGTCCGGCGCTCGCGGGCGGCAAGATGGCGGCGGTCTCAATGTCAGAGTCGCTGCGGCGCGCGCTGTGGGGCCGCAGGGCCGCGGCCGCGGCGGCTGCCTCCGCTCTCCGGGCTCCATCCAGGTAAGAAGACCGGCAGGCTCCTTCTGCCGGCTTCTCGGCGTCCCCTCCGCCGCGGCGGGTCTCTGCGGCGGGGCCCCGGCCAAGGCCTCGGGAGAGGCGGGCGCTGCGGGGAGGCCGCGGGGAGCCGGGCGGGGCGGGGCGGGGCGGGGCGGGCGGACGGGAGCGCCCGGGTTCCAGGGGGCGTGTATCCTGTGGTCGCGGGACTGGTCTGCGGAGCCCAGAGAAGCGGCGGAGGCTCCCCGCCTCCCGCACCTCCGTTTCTCACCTGCTGGTCCTCACCCCGTCCTCACCTAGGGGTGACGTCACCCGTTGGCCGTCACCGCGTCCTTACCTGGTGGTGACGTCACCTGCTGGTCTGTCACCCCGTCCTTACCTGTGGGTGACGTCACCTGCTGGTCTGTCACCGCGTCCTTACCTGGGGGTGACGTCACCTGCTGGTCTGTCACCGCGTCCTCACCTGGGGGTGACGTCACCTGCTGGTCCTCACCCCGTCCTCACCTGGGGGTGACATCACCCGTTGGCCGTCACCGCATCCTTACCTGGTGGTGATGTCACCTGCTGGTCTGTCACCCCGTCCTTACCTGTGGGTGACGTCACCCGTTGGCCGTCACCCCATCCTTACCTGGGGGTGACGTCACCTGCTGGTCCTCACCCCGTCCTCACCTGGGGGTGACATCACCCGTTGGCCGTCACCGCATCCTTACCTGGTGGTGATGTCACCTGCTGGTCTGTCACCCCGTCCTCACCTGGGGGTGAATTCCTCTTTGCTATCAGTGGTGTTGATTAGGTTTCTGAACAGAAACATAGTTTTATGCATCCCACTGCTTGGGAGGGAGGGACATTTGGTGGGAAGTCGGTGTTGGTAAAAATATTGGAAGGTAATTTTTCCGGTTAACTTCCAGGGGCCATGCTGGTGGTCACGCTGGCAGGTGTCCCCATCCGGAATTTCGTGAAAGCCTTGAAGTAATGCAGAAGTTTCTGTTATTGTTTTGTCTTGAAGCATTCTTTGTGATGGTGATTTTTTTGAGACTTCATGACTTACTCCTCCATTTCCCGAATTTTCCTGAATTTATTGCAGCCCTGACAGGACAGCACGGACACATACTCAGCATTCTTATCTGCGAATGATTATTAGGTTTTCTGCTGTTTCGAGCTTGTTAGTCTAAATGTGAACCAGGGCTCACATAGGGTGTGTTCTGCCTGAGGCTGAGTGCTGGGAACCAGGACGGAAGGACTGGGTGGACTGATGGGCAGGGTGTGGGGCGAAGGGGAGAGGTTAAGATGCCAATCAACTTAGTGTTGTAGTAAATAAGTGCAGAGGGAATGCAGGGGGTTAGACTCCAGTTAGGAAGGATTTGGGGAGATCATTTTGATTAAGATTTTAAATAGTGGGTTTGAGCGGGGCCATTGGGTTACGGAAATGCTTGAAGGTGGTAGTCCAGAGATATACAGGGTGTCCCAGAAATGTATCCACACGCTTAGAATACAGACAGTCCTCGGTTACATCGGACTCGACGTCCGTCGTTTCGTGGTTACGTTGCCGTCTCCCAGTTATTTATAAAATAAAAAGTTCTGTCATTTCAACGTATGTACATATGTGCTTTATGTTTTTTATTATTTATTTACCACGAGTAAAGGTCAGGAATTGTTATCTTTTAAATTTTTTTACTGTTTCACTTCATTACGGCTGTGTATGTGCTCCATGTGAGTGACATAGGTGCTTATGTAGGTGGGTTCCGACTTACGGCGAAAATCACCTTACGTCTCATGGTAGGAACGGATCTCCGACATAACCCGAGGACCTACTGTAATTACAAGGGCGGTGTTTATTTATTTTCTATTTTTTTAAAATATATATATATATTTCTTTATTAATTTCAGAGAGGAAGGGAGAAGGAGAGAGAGATAGAAACATCAATGATGAGAGAGAATCACTGATCGGCTGCCTCCTGCACACCCCCTATTGGGGATTGAGCCCGCAACCTGGACATGTGCCCTTGGCCGGAATCGAACCTGGGACCCTTCAGTCTGCAGGCTGACGCTCTATCCACTGAGCCAAGCCGGCCAGGGCAAGGCGGTGTTTATTAAAATACATTTCATTTTCAAAATTGAGCTGTCACCTGTTACAGTGTGTGTACGTTTTTGGGGGGACACCCTGTATGTATAATACAGAGTCATTGGAACATAAGATGCCAAGATGGGGGAGGTAAGTAAGTCTGCAGTTAACTGTTCTGCATATGGGGGACTGGACGAATGGAAAGTATTTATCTGAGGTCAAGTACTTCCCAGGGTGACTCAGGGCTGGGCTGGAGGTGACTCAGCTTAGCCTTGTTCTCCTAGACATAATAAGGTCTCCACAGTTGCCCGAGACTGAAAACAGATTTGAAGGGTCCCCCGGTTCATGGTTAATCCAAACATGGCTGTCTGCCAGCCATTAAGGTAGCTCAAGTGAAGACATTACATTTTGGAAACGTTGACGATAATTAATACTGTTTACCCAGATTTAAAGAGTACCTGCTTGCAGATGTGTCAGATTTGGGAAGAAAATAAAAATTTAGGTCATATAAGATGACTTTTGTTTCACATGATTAAAAAACCCTACAAGTCAAGGAAACAAATTTTAAACACAAGTCAAATGACACATTTATTTGTTTTAGTGCCACTTTTTTACTCCAAGAGCTTATGATGTTCCTCTCATTCCCAGAGACATGGATGGCCCTTCTCCTTTACAGATGACCTGCTGTTCACCCTCAAGCACGGCCCTTCCCTTGGACTGTGAGAGGAGTGAGGCTCTGAAAAGGTTGGATGTGGAAAGAGAACCAGTAATATTTGGAAAACATTTGCAAATGGTGTACATTTCAGATGACATGAATAAAGTGAGGGGGTAGAACCAGTAAGGCACTTGTAAGGAGGAGGGTAGCGAAACAAAAGAATATTGGAGAACAGGAACTATCAGTAGAAGGAAAGAAGTAGTTAACGGCTATTAGCTTATGAACGTAATTATCATATATTAGAAAAAATAAAAAGAAAACAAAATCACAACATACACACAAGCAAGAGGGAGAACACTTACTTGAACAGTAGATGACTCAGCTGACCCAGTAGCTGAGCTCTGCTCTGGAGGGAGTCTCAGTTTCCGGGTGCATCTGACTCCCCGGCTGGAGAGGGGACCCTGATGACTGCCTGCAGGCACCCTTACTTTTCCTGACTTGCCTAGGGATTGTCCCCAGTAGGTTTAACTCTTTAGCATATTAATCTGAAAATGGCACCCCGTTTCAAAATAGCAATTCTTAGGACTCCAGACATTTGCCGCAGTGGTTTTGTTTGCTTCTTTTACCTATTCATGTACACTTATCTCATTCAGCCTGTCTCGTCACTTCTGCATTTGGACTGAGCTGTGCTCACTTCAAACAGCTCCTTAGGGTCTGCAGCAGCTGTTAGTGACGGTGGGGTGACTGGGGATATGGACCTTGTTTTCAGGCCTGTTTGGGGCTCCAATCTCCAGTCCACCCGTGGCTCTGTTTCCTTGTTTTGGGCATTAGGTAAGCAGTGTAAAATTATGAGTCTGCAGGAACCTCCGATGAGTAAGAGGTCCTAAGGTTGGCAAGAGTTCTGTGGTCATCACACCTTTACTGAGAAAAAGTCTCAGCTCAAATTTGAGATACATTTAGGACCAGTAGGTTGGCTGTACTTCAGATAAGCTGGGTGAACATTCCTCTCTGAAGGGCAGCTACTTTTGCTGCCTTTGGAACATATCAAAGCTAAGTTTTGTGAATTTGAAATGGTTTGTAAGTGCTTTCTAGATGGTTTCATTGTTTGGCTTATTTTCCTCATAAAAAATACTCATATTAGTTGGTTTGTTTTATCAGTAGCAGTATTTTTGTTGAATGATTCTTAGGAGAAGTAAACATTTTAATACTAATAAATATTAGACTAGTGTCTGCACCTCCGTTCCCAGGTCATACCCATCAGCAGAGGTCAGTGCTTGGTGTGGGTGGACACAGAGTCACGTCATTTCAAATGGAAACGCTTCTAGAACACATCATATGCCTTAGTGAAAGTTGAGAATCATTTTCATGGCATTTATTCCGAACACAAATTAAAATAGCAGCTAACATTTATTCCTCTCTTACTGTGCATTAGCCACTGTGCCGAGGACTTGACCTACCTTATCTCCGTCTCTCCATTTTTTTAGACGAGGAAACATACCGGCGAAGCAACAGATTTTCCAGTTTACAGGCATACTGTGTTTTATTGCGCGTAGCTTTATTGTGCTTCACAGATGGTGTGCTTTGCACAAGTTGAGGCAAGGCCTTCCACCAGCAGGAAGATCACGACTCTGTATTGTGAGATTCGCTTTACTGAGGTGGCTGGAACCGAACCCACAGGATCTCCCAGGAGTGCCTGCACAGTACTCGGAAATAGTCTGGTTTAGCAGTCTGAAGGAATATGTGGACTTCTGCAGTGAGAGATATTATGTCTGATAATGGTAAATTGCAATCTCAGTATCTCCCATGTTCAGTAAAAAATGCCTCTTTCAGAGACTCTCTGCTCTTTACTTTCCCTCCACTGTTCCTTTTTGTACAGCGAGTCTCTTTGTTTGTTTGTTTTCCAGTTAGGATTTTTCCTGTAAAATTTGTAAATATTTTTGGTGAGAGACTTTCTGTAGGTGACTTGAAATTGATGCGTTCTCACCCTCTTAACCAAAATCCATAAGCGATGCACTAACAAGGTACGCTGAACACCATTTCCTGTTGTCTTGCTCGGGGGTCGTGAAGACCAACACTCACTGTCCTCTGCTGCCTTTCAGCCTGTCCAGTCTGTGTTGTGTTCTGAGTTCTTGCGTCTGCTGTTGAATAGTGTTTCTGGGTCCTTCCTTCACTGGTCTGCTTCCCTCTAGCAGTCTCACTACCCTTTTAATTTATCATGGGTTTGGGTAGCAAGCAAGTAACCCTGTTAGAACTGTGTGTAAAATGAAGTAGGGTTAAGGAAGCTCTGTT